GATTTGTGCGTAGGATACGGACGTAGTTTTCCGAGCTCCTGAAACGTTGGCCCAATTTTGTGCCAAAAAATTAAAAAAAGCAAATATAAAATGGTAACAGCAACGATTTAATCACTGAAGGTTGAAAACAACAAGTTGAAGGAGAAGGGATGATTAAATTGATTTACTTGACCAATAACGAAAATCTCTTAAGAACTCGGCTTCACATACTTGCAATTTTTTTTATTTTACAATATACATATAATTGTAAACTTAATTTAATTTTCTTTTGTGAGCTTTGTATTTGTATATAGTATACGTGTAACCACTGCTCGCCTCCACACTGCGGGCAGTGGATCAGTTCTTTGTCTATAAAATTTGAAATAATTCATAAAAAGTCAACAGTCAATTAAACAGTCAACAGAGTCGTTCCGTTAAAGGACTTCAACAATGATACGTAAAATTTCTTGCGGCCACACACAGTGATTTCTTTTTTTCTTTTACTAATTTATACCCAGCTAGAGGAGCACGACGTAGAGCGATTCCTTTCTTCGACGATTAACAGACATCGAAATTATTTCACGTCTTGTTTCAGCCTCTCGTTCGTCGATTATCGATTTTAGTTTCTAGAGTTCCCTATTTACAACTAAATTTTAATTTCTTCCTTTAGTTTTAAATTTTCTTTGTGCAGACTTTTAACTTGACTTACTGTACGACAACTGACTTAAACGTAACGACACTCTAAGTCAGCATCTGGCGGAGCGCTCATAAATAACATGTCCGACTTCATACCTCGCTTCGACAGGAACAGTATTTTAAGCAAGGATGGTTCATTCAGTGGACACTATCAAGACGGAAATACACGCGTTATGACATAACAGGCATTTGATTTTGAAAAGCTGAACAATCTTTAAATTATAAAATGAAAGGAAAAAACATCAAAGCAGCTGACGTAATGAGGCGGAAAAGCAATGCTGTTGTTGGCAGCAAGGAATAATTTCAACGTTGTGGCAAGGGAGGGATTTGGAGACGAGTGCCATTAAAATAGTTTTGATCTCTGTTGACATAAAGGTGTACATAAAGCTGCTGCCGCGGAAGTGATAAGTACTGTACTTCCTTGTATCGCTCTATTCAAAAAATGAGGCTTTTGAAAGTCGTATCCCAGCAATTGAAACCTCAGCGAAACTGATTAAAGAATGTGTTCTTCAAAAACTTGCACATTTCTCGATGGATGGCGAACAAAAGTTTGTCTTCCTTTTCAAAGATCGCTGAGACGTGACGTCACCAATTTTGGGTTGTTATCAGAGAGCCAATATTACCACCACAACAAGTAATATTCTCCCTACTGGTGCAAGGGGAACGTTTAAATACAGCACACTAGTATAGGCAGACTAGGTATTCCTCAGTAATACGATAAAAGTTATAAAATTTCACTCCAACTTTCCTTGATGTTAATTCACTCCTCTGTTTCTGCATGTCGATTCGACAGCGATTATGTTTAGCCGTACGACTCGGTAACTGAAGGCAGAGCCCCTTACTTATAACGAAATGCCACAAAAGTTCCAAGTTCCTACAGCTCTAAATGACATGTATTTTTTTCATTCAACAACTCTTTTTGTTGTTACAAAGAATCCATCACAGAGCCCTTGCCCTTACAACATATGACAAATTTCTTAATCTCTCAGATGGAATGCATTTTCCAAGCAACAAATAATAACTTCAAACCTGGAATAGTATCATATCCTAACTATTGAAAAACGCTTCCCAGAATGAGCCAATGAATACACAATGTCGCAAAAATCATTCGATTCTTCGCGACATTCCTGCGGCACTACTTGTAAAAAGTTGCACTTTACTTACCTCTTCTTCTATCAAACAACGCGGAATTTCGCCGCTGTGGTTATCACAAGTTGAAATTTCTTTACTCAATCAACAGGCTTCCAAGAAGTTGACTCGTCTTGTTATAGCAACTAAATATTAAACTGAGTGTTGTGAAGTGCCGCCCGCTGCGCGATCATCCATCCTTTGGTTGGTACGCACGACTGCCTAGTTATTTAGGCGGAATTATCACGAGAAAAAAAGCCCCGAATATTAAAGCGAACACCTTCAGGCTCTTTTTTTTCAAAAGGCCAACGTACAGTTCACGTGATATGCGCAACTGCACACACAAAGTCAGTGCGTAGTTTTCAGTTTCTCTGTGAAAGCGGTAGCACACTGATTTGGGCTCTCTCTTCTTTTTTTCCCTCGCCATGTTCAGTACAGTTGATGGTAGTGTTCGCCTTGTGATAGCCGTAACTAAGTTTGGTTTATTACACAAGATGTAATTATTGATCAAAACAAGGGTAGGGAGGGTGGGCACTAAATTATTTGGCCTAGACGGGTATGTGTTGATGAACAGAGTATGCCCGTTCTCAAGGCGTTGGGTCTTAAACAACTAGGTTATACAATTTCACGAAATGAATCAGGGTCGTGAATTCAAATTAGATCTTTTGCTTTAAACGAGGTAGCGATATGAGTGATTCTTGTCTTAAACAAAGTCAGGGTTTGAAGCGCTTGGCAGCACACTTCTACCCAAACTCCCTTTGAAGGCTGATCAAAGTCTAAATATTTCAGCAATCAAGCCTGTCAAGCCTAAATAATCGATTGTCAATAACCTGACAGAGATTTGTGCGTAGGATACGGACGTAGTTTTCCGAGCTCCTCAAATGTTGACCTAATTTTGTGACAAAAAACTAAAAAAAAGCAAATAAAATGGCAAAAGTAACGGTTTAATCACTGAAGGCTGAGAACAACAAGTTGAAGAGAGGGGATGATTATGTTGATTTACTTGACTAATAACGAAAATCTCTTAAGAACTCGGCTTCACATACTTGCAATTTTTTTTATTTTGCAATATACATAATTGTAAACTTAATTTAATTTTCTTTTGTGAGCTTTGTATTTGTATATGATATACGTGTAACCACCGCTCGCCTCAACACTGCGGGCAGTGGATCAGTTCTTTGTCTATAAAATTTGAAATAATTCATAAAAGGTCAACAGTCAATTAAACAGTCAACTGGTTGTTCCGTTAAAGGACTTCATTCAACAACGATACATAAAATTTCTTGCGGCCACACTCGTCAGTGATTTCTTGTTTTCTTTTACTAATTTATACCCAGCTAGAGGAGCACGACATAGAGCGATTCCTTTTTTCGAAGATTAACAGCCATCAAAATAATTCCACGTCTTGTTTCAGCCTCTCCAAGCTGTTTGATGTCCTCTTGAAGCCGTTGTTCGTCGATTATCGATTTTAGCTTATGGAGTTCCCTATTTACAGCTAAAATTTAATTTCTCCTTTAGTTTTCAGTTTTCTTTGTGCAGACTTTTAACTCGACTTATTGTACGATATAAAGCAACTTACTTAAACTTAACGAGATTCTGTTTAGTCAGCATCTGGCGGAGCGCTCATAAATAACACAGGGGCACCCAACGAGGATATAGTTCAAAACCACTTAACATAGCATTGTTGAACGTATTTTAGTATTCAAACGGTAGATATAGGCATATTTTTATCCCCTAAAAACTTTTCATCTGTTCGGATTTCCTAGCTGAAAGTCTAGTGATCCGAAAATTATAGGGATAAAAACTTACCTTCTCGAAAATTTCAGCCAGGAAAAGGCTCCCGAAAATTCTAGATGGCCTTTTTGAGGGTCAAAATCCGTTAAAAATGGATAATTATGCCATTTTGTAGATGTTCGAAAATCCTAGGAGAGGCAGGCAAGCAAGACATTTTACAACAAATGCTCCGAAAATTCTAGATCTAAAATCGTCTTCCGAACAGATATTTTCCCGAAAATTGCCGTTGGGTGCCCCTGATAACATGTCCGACTTCATGCCTCGCTTCGACAGGAACAGTATTCTATGCAAGGATGGTTCATTCAGTGGACACTATCAAGACGGAAATACACTCGTGATTACATAACAGGCATTTGATTTTGAAGAGCTGAAGAATCTTTAAATTATAAAATGAAAAGAAAAAACATCAAAGCAGCTGGCATAAGCGGGCGGAAAAGCAGTGCTGTTGTTGGCAGCAAAGAATAATTTCAACGTTGTGGGAAGGGAGGGATTTGGAGACAAGTGCCATTAAAATAGTTTTGATCTCTGTTGACATAAAGGTGTACATAAAGCTGCTGCCGCGGAAGTGATAAGTACTGTACTTCCTTGTATCGCTCCATTCAAAAAATGAGGCTTTTGAAAGTCGTATCCCACCAATTGAAACCTCAGCGAAACTGATTAAAGAATGTGTTATTAAAAAAATTTGCACATTTCTCGATGGATGGCGAACAAAAGTTTGTCCGCCTTTTTAAAGATCGCTGAGACGTGACGTCACCAACTTTGGGCTAGTTATCAGAGAGCCAATATTACCACCACAACAAGTAATATTCTCCCTACTGGTGCAAGGAGAACGTTTAAATACAGCACACTAGTATAGGCAGACTAGATATTTCTCAGTAATAAGATAAAAGTTATAAAATTTCACTTCAACTTTCCTCGATGTTAATTCACTTCTCTGTTTCTGCATGTCGACTTGACAGCGATTATATGTTTAGCCGTACGACTCGGTAACTGAAGGCAGAGCCCCTTACTTATAACGAAATACCAGAATGTTTCCAAGTTCCTGCAGTTGTAAATGAGATGTATTTTTTTTCATTCAACAACTCTTTTTGTCGTTACAAAGAATCCATCACAGAGCCCTTGCCCTTACAACATATGACAAATTTCTTAATCTCTCTGATGGAATACATTTTTCCACGCAACAAATAATAACTTCAAACCTGGAATCGTATCATATCCTAATTATTGAAAAACGCTTCCCAGTATGAGCCACTGAATACACAATGTCGCAAAAATCACACGATTCTTTGCGACATTCCTGCGTAACTATTTGTTAAAAGTTGCACTTTACTTACCTCTTCGTCTGCCAAACAACGCGGAGTTTAGCCGCTGTGGTTATCACAAGTTGAGATTTCTTTACTCAATCAACAAGCTTCCAAGAAGTTGACTCGTCTTGTTACAGCAACTACTGATATTAAACTGAGTGCTGTGAAATGCCGCCCGCTGCGCAATCATCCATCCCTAGGCTGGTACGCACGACTGCCTTGCTACACGGAATTATCACGAGAAAAAAAAAGCCCTGGATATTAAAGCGAACAGCTTCAGGCTCTTTTTTTTTCAAAAGGCCAACGTGTAGCTCACGTGATATGCGTAACTGCACTCACAAAGTCGGTGCGTAGTCAGTTTTAGTTTCTCTTTGAAAGCAGTAGCACTATTTGGGGGCTCTCTTCTTTTTTTCCCTCGTCATGTTCAGTACATTTGAGGGCAGTGTTCGCCTTGTCATAGCCGTAACGAAGTTTGGTTTATTACAGAAGATGTAAGCATTATTGATCAAGCCCGGGGTGGGGTGGGTTGGGCACTAACTTATTTGGCCTAGACGGGTATGTGTTGCTGAACAGAGTATGCCGGTTTTCAAGGCCATGAGTCTTAAACAACTAGGTTATACAATTTCACGAAATGAACCAGGGTCGTGAATTCAAATTAGACCTTTTGCTTTAAACAAGGAAGCGAAATGAGTCATTTTTGTTGCCAAAAGGACTCGGCGGTACACCTAGTACCCAAACTCCCTTTGAATGCCCCCCAAGGCTGATCAAAGTCTAAATATTTCAGCAATCAAGCCTAAATAATCGATTGTCAATAACTTGGTAGAGATTTGAGCGTAGGATACGGACTTAGTTTTCCGAGCTCCTGAAATGTTGACCTAATTTTGTGACAGAAGGCTTTAAAAAAAGCAAATAAAATGGCAAAAGCAACGGTTTAATCACTGAAGGTTGAGAACAACAAGTTGAAGGAGAGGAGATGATTATATTGATTTACTTGACTAATAACGAAAATCTCTTAAGAACTCGGCTTCTCATACTTGCAATTTTTTTATTTTACAATATACATAATTGTAAACTTATTAATAATTTAATTTTCTTTTTTGAGCTTTGTATTTGTATATAATATACAAGTACCTACTGCTCGCCTCCACACTGCGGGCAGAGGATCAGTTCTTTAATTTGTCTGTAAAATTTAAAACAATTCATGAAAAGTCAACAGTCAATTAAACAGTCAACAGTGTTGTTCCGTTAAAGGACTTCAACAATGATACATAAAATTTCTTGCGGCCACACTCGTCAGTGATTTCTTGTTTTTACTGATTTATACCCAGCTGGTCAGGAGCATGACATATAGTGCGATTCCTTTCTTCGACGATTAACAGACATGGTTCATTTAGTGGACACTACGAAATGGAATACAGTCATGACGACATAACAGGCATTTGATTTTGAAAAGCTAACTGAAGAATCTTTAAATTATAAAATGAAAAAAAAAAAACATCAAAGCAGCTGACGTAATGAGGCAGAAAAGCAGTGCCGTTGTTGGCAGCAAAGAATAATTCAACGTTGTGGGAAGGGAGGGATTTGGAGACGAGTGCTATTTAAAATAGTTTTGATCTCTGTTGACATAAAGGTGTACATATTAAAGAATGTGTTCTTAAAAAATTTGCACATTTCTCGATGGATGGCGAACAAAAGTTCAACGGTCCTCCTTTTCAAAGATCGCTGAGACGTGACGTCACCCACTTTGGGTAGTTATCAGAGAACCAATATTACCACCACAACAAGTAATGTTCTCCCTACTGGTGCAAGGAGAACGTTTAAATACAACACAATAGTATAGGCAGACTAGGTATTCCTCAGTAATACGATAAAAGTTATAAAATTTCACTCCAACTTTCCTTGATGTTAATTCACTCCTCTGTTTCTGCATGTCGACTCGACAGCGACTATGTTTAGCCGTACGACTCGGTAACTGAAGGCAGAGCCCCTTACTTACACCGAAATGCCAGAAAATTTCCAAGTCCTTACAGCTCTAAATGAGATGTATTTTTTTCATTCAACAACTCTTTTTGTCGTTACAAATAATTCATCACAGACCCCTTTGCTTACAATATATGACAAATTGTTTTTCGATCTTTTCGAGGAAATGCATTTTTTAACTCAACAACTCTTATAACTTCAAACCTGGAATCGTATCATATCCTAATTTTATAAAAACGCCTCCCAGTATGCATGGGCCAATTAATACACAATTAAATGTCGCAAAAATCACGCGATTCTTCGCGACATTTCCTGCGGCACTACTTGTAAAAAGTTTCACTTTACTTACCTCTTCTTCTATCAAACAACGCCGATTTTCGCAGTGGTTATCACAAGCTGAAATTTCTTTAGTATACTCAATGAACAAGCATCAAAGACGTTGACTAGTTTTGTTACAGCAAACTCAGCAACTACATATTTGAACTGAGCTTTGTGAAATGCCGCCCGCTGTGCAACCATCCATCCTCTGGTTGGTACGCACGACTGCCTAGTTATTCAGGCGGAATTATCACGAATTAGCCTTTTTTTCAAAAGGCTAACGTGTAGCTCACGTAATATGCGTAACTGCACAAGGTCGGTGCGTAGTTTCGGTTTCCCCATGAAAGCGGTAGCACAAACTCGGTAGATCAAACCCAGGGAGGGGTGGGCACTTCATTATTTGGCCTGTTATACCCAGCCAGAGGAGCACCACATAGAGCGATTCCTTTCTTCGACGATCAACAGATGTGAAATAATTCCACGTCTTGTTTTAGCGTCTCCAAGCTGTTTGATGTCCTCTTGAAGCCGCCGTTCTTCGATTATCACTTTAAGTTTCTAGAGTTCCCTATTTACGGCTAAAATTTAATTTCTTCCTTTAGTTTTAAGTTTTCTTTGTACTTATTGTACGACATAAAGCAACTGACTTAAATTAAACTGAACTAGATTCTAAGTCAGCATCATATACGGAGCGCTCATTAAAGACACCTCCGACTTCATACCTCGCCTCGACAGGAACAGTATTCTATGCAAGGATGGTTCATCAAGAGGGAAATACACTCGTTCTGACATAACAGGCATTTGATTTTGAAAAGCTGAAGAATCTTTGAATTATAAAAAGAAAAAAAAATCAAAGCAGCTGACATAACCGGGCGGGAAAGCAGAGGAGTGCTGATGTTGGCAGCAAAGATTAACTGATTTCAACGTTGTGAGAAGGAAGGGATTTGGAGACGAGTGCCATTTCCCTGTTGTCCTAAAGCTGCTGCTGCGGAAGTAATAAGTGCTGTGTTTCCTTGTATCACTCCATTCAAAAAATGGCTCTCTTCTTTTCTCTCCCTCGCCACGTTCACCACAGTTGAGGGCAGTGTTTGCCTTGTGATAGCCGCAACGAAGTTTGGTTTATTACAGGAGATGTGAGCATTATTAATCAAACCCGGGGAGGGGAGGGCAGTCTTTTATTATTGGGCCTAGGCGTGGTATTTTGTGCATGCAGGTTTTCAGGGTCTCGAGTCTTGTATCCTATACAATTGAACAGGATCAAGTGGAACCCACAATGTTTGTTTTTTTTTTTAAATTTAATTTAATGTCATGATATTGGTTGCGTTGTGTGCGAAACGAAATGAATCAGGCCCACAAAATTAGATCTTATCTTTTGGGATCAACGATTTTTGTTTTTAAACAAGGACAAGGTCTGAATTGCTAGACGGCACACATCTACCCCACATTCCCTCTAAATGCCCCCCAAGGCTGATCAAAGTCTAAATATTTCAACAATCAAGTCTAAAAAGTCGATTGTCAATAACTTGATAGACGTAACGTATTCATGAGGGGCCAGGCCCGAAACATTATTTACTTGGCCTACTTGCTTTCTAAAGTGCCAAGCAGCTTACGGAATTTTACCGTAATTTGTTAGACGATTCATGATCTTAACAGAAAATCGAAATCTCCTCCGTACCTGTAGTTCCGTAATACAAAAAATTTCTTGTGAAAACCTATCACCAAGAGGAGACAGAGAGCGATTTCTTTCCTAGACATCATGGCTGGCGTAACACTCAGTAGCCATAGGCTCCTGCCCTGCGCCAAAGTTTGATATCAAAAACTTATTACCGTGCATGTGATGTAACACATTCAAGTTCTTTCTCGATAACGTGATGGAAAATTTCCAACCTTCATTAGGCTTTTGTACATTATGCTCGTATTTTTTCGAGCATGTTATTTAGGCAACACTATCAATAGAAGCATTAAGCGATCATTGTAGTGGCATTTCCTGGGACGTAAACTTAACCGTGAAATTCAAAAGTCATTGTTTGCTGTGTTTAAACTATTCATTCGTATACATCGTTGTCGTTTTGATAGCCCAAACCCTCTCAAAACGTTCAGAAAAAAAATTGACAAAAAGGTCTTGCTATGTTAAGCATTATCCAGGAATTTTGATGACTTTTTGAGGGGTAAAAAGTGAATTAACGTTTTTAACACCTTCATCACGATTATTCCAACTCACCGACTTTGTCAGACTTTGTATGCGCACTCTTTTGACTTGAGTTCCTAAGAGCCTTATTCAAGTTCAGAAAAGTGTGATGCAAGTGCAAAGTTGTTCTTTTGCTTTAAATTTAAACCTGTTGCTTTTTTGACGTGCTCGTTGACGCATCACCGTCCTCCCTATTGTCCATCCAAGCAAGGAGCCTGTACATGTATAGCCTCGACTTCGTTTCATTGCGTGTGCTCACTGAACGAATACGGGAATGGTATGTGGAACCGAAATTTTCAAGCCCAAAAATATCGGCGGATATCCGACCGAAAACATCTATTCTCTTCTCGGTCCTGTGATCAAGTTTTCTGATGATATGATCTTATTTTTATTTGAGGGAAAAACACAAGAATTTAATGTTGATACAACCCTGAATTGGGCGTCTCCCAAGCCAAGCTCAGAATCCCACTAAAAAAATTTTCATATTTTTTTCGGCAACATTCTATTCAGCAAATCGAAGTATAGATATTCTTTAACCCTTGAAAATAGTTCTCAACAAGATAAATATGATCATGTTTAATGAAAATTACACCAAATAATTTAATTAGTTTCCAACTCCTTTTAGACATCTGATTAAGCAAGCAGTTGTACATGTATTCCAGTGCATAAAAAGTATAAGAACGTCGTACATATCAGAAGAATGATTTTGTAGTGAAAACAAATCCTCATTGCTTCTAATCTATTTTCTTTTTAGTATGCTAGAACTTCCGAATTTAAGACTGGAACTTTAAAAGCCAGTTCTATTTTAACAAAATAAAAGGCCCAGACCTCCCCCCTCGGCGCTGATCTGATCTTTTTATTGTTACCAGCAAAATCAGTTTTTATTTGCCTTTTCCTTGAACAACCAAATTCTAAAAATTAAATGAACTGTTTCATTTTTTGCTCCAGGTTCAGTTTTTTTGCTTTACAAAATACGTAAAATGTTTTTTTTATTAATGTTACGTATTCACCTATTAATTCATTTACTTGTCTATTTATTATTTTGTTTACTGAAATTTACTATAGAAGTCACTCAAAGTGATTCAATGCTTAAAAACAATTAAACAATTCTGTGAAAATTTAATCACAGGATATGAATTTTGGTAAAGGTCTCCTTTTAGTGGACAGGAAGGATTTTCAATGCATCCAGTTGACACTGTCCTTGGTAGCAGGACCTGGTCCAGCAGCAGGTGTAAAGATCTCCTTCTTTCCACCTCCTTTCAGCGCCAGGGTCTCTCCTTCCCTTCTGAGTGAAGTCAGACCTTTCAGGATGGAGGAAGCCTCATTCTCCAGCGGCTGGAGCTCTGGAGGTGGCATCATCCTTGTTGACATGACTGGTCCTGACACAAGTTTACCATCAGCACTCTGAGTTACATTGCAGGATATAACGTTGGCCACTTCGGCTGAAATGTGCCAGGCTCCTTCTCCAGTTTTCTCAATCATCAGCTTGAACCTTCCCTGCCAGTCTCCTTCCACCCCTTGTCTTGCAGTGGGAACAAGCTGGAAAGCATCCAAAGCTAGAGGTAGAAGTCTCAGAGATTGTCACACCCTGTCCCGCTTCATCCATGGAAACGGCTGGACGGAACTCCATGCCACGGTAGCGGGAAATATCAAATGCCACTCCCAATCCACTTCCATTTTTAGAGAATGCCAGCACAGTCTTGTCACAAGTCTGCTCCAACCGCATTCCAATGACATCACCATCACCAAACTTAGGTCTCCAGTTACTGGTCACCAGGCTACTACCATCACTCAAGTTGCCCGGCCCGCCATAGAACAATCCCTTCATCCCCCAACCAGCTGCAAACTTATCCTCAGCAGAGACTCCCACTCACGTTCCAGAACTTCCAGTCACTTTAAACTCCCAACTCCCAGTTCCGCCTTGACTCCAGATAGCATTCGCCTTGGAGTTGCCACTCCCAGTGAAGCTAACCTTTGCTCCAGAAACTGTCAGGTTACCAGATCCATCATCTCTCCATGCCATGTTGTCGAACTGACACTAGAGCTGGGTTCTCCTGTGTTAATGTAAATAAGGGTTAGGCTACACTTTGAGAGGTTTATAACTGACAAAGGATCCATGGGAAAACGTCCCTACAAAAAGGAAGAGAGCGTGGGGACATTTTTGTGTGGAGCCCTTCAACAATAATAAAATATTTATTATTATTATTACTACTCTTTGTTAACATGCGTTTTTTTCTTCAGTTAATGATGTCATCTATTTGAAAAACCACTGACCACATTTTCATTGCATTTGAGAGTTCAAGTATTTATCCTCAAGTATAATTTTTTTCATAGGTTTAAGATGTCATGTTTTTTGATTCACTGGCTAAAATAACAAAAATGGTGTTTGAAAAAATGGATCACCTTAAACGCTCCATAGAAATTGAAATCTTGTGTTCAAAAAATCAAATAAGCCTACTAATTCTAGCCTGTGTAGCTGGCAGGTTTGTTAAATATATGTGCTGGGCATTTTTTTTATGGGATGGGGAAATAAAATTTGACTTGCACCCAAACTTATGGCTCTGCTACCAAAAACAACAGCATGTCCCCCACGTATCCCACCATCTGGCTATAACTAAATCAAATGGAATAAACTGAAAAAAATTATTAAAAATTAAAACTATTGTAGCTGCTGACAAGATAAATAATTATTTTTGCCTGGAAGTTAATTATTCATGTGGTCGCCAGTTTTAAGACATAATTATTTTCCCTTGTAACCATCAGTACCATCAGGATTACCAGAAAAAAAATATCTTTATCCCAGCAGAATTACATGAAAAAAGACTATATAGCGATGTCTTTTTGCCTTATATCCCTTATATACATACTATTTGTTGTATAACATTTCAATCATTTCTGCATTTAAACCATCATAGGGGTGCTTGCCATTTTGCCAAACAAGCTGGTAAGAAACCAGTAGATCTTGCCAAGTGAAAACGTAATAACATTATTCTTGAAGAAAAGTTTCCAACTAGGTCAAAGTATTCTATTTAAGTTAAGACCTGAATTCTGATTACTTTTTGCAAGGTGAGACTCGAAATTTGGGAAACTGAAATGGTAAAGTGTTGGCCGGACAA